TTCTCTTCTCTTCTCTTCTCTTCTCTTCTCTTCTCTTCTCTTCTCTTTTTTTTTCCTGTGGCAATGCTGTTATCTGCCTAGCAGAGTAAAAGATTTTAAACCTCATTTAATTACTGTCATCGTAAACTATCACTGAGGTCAGGGTGCACCATAAATGGCAAGGCAATATTTGTGAGGGGAACATTTCACTTTTTAATAGCTTGCTTTTATAGTGAATAAAAGCATGCAGTTTTTGTTTTCTGTGATTAAATCTGAACGGCATCTGATAGCCTTTCTGAAGAAAAGTAATTACTGTTTTTAAGATACTGTTTAACTGTAATGGTTTTGTAGTTGCCCATCACTATACTACTTCTCTTATTTGTCTGCAGTGTACTGTGAATGACTGTTGTTATGGACCACTGGTGGACTGCATCAAACAGTATCCTTTCCCATAAAATTTTAGGTGCACAATTGACGAGCTTAGACTGTGTGGAAGAGATGTGTCTAGCTTTAACCTGACATAAAGTTCTGCTTCACAAAACACATTTCATACTCCTCTGTTTTACATTCAATCAGCTAGAGGGTCACTGCAGAGCTTTCTCTTACACTGCTTAAAAAAAATCTGATGGAGTATGGGAAGTTGTCAGTTTGGTGGCTACACATTCATATAGCTGATTGAACCTCTTTGGTTTTGTCAAAAACCAAAAAAGTCAAAAGTCATATCTGGCTTTCTGTTAAGACCAGTTTAATCTGCTTTAAGCAGTGAGGCTGAACTAGATGATCTCTTGAAGGACCTTCCAATCTCAACTGTTCTGTGATTAAATTAATAAGTTGCACAGATAGTGTTGAATTTCATAGCATTTATTTTGAATATGAATTTTAATTAGAATGTTTTCAAGTGCAATTCAAGTTGTGATGTGTTGTCTGACAGTGAGAAGCACTCCCTGTAGTAATAATGCATGTGGTGGTTATCTCTTAAAATGTGTTCTTTCTACTCCAGATATTCACATGGTATCTACCACAGTCCTGCTCCCATTAATTTTAACAACAGCAGGATAGAGTTCTAATTATACCTGTGATTTGGGAGTTTTTTGTGGGTTTTTTTTGTTTGTTTTTCGGTGAGACTGTCTTCAACATTAAACAAAGTGGATTAATCTAACAAGTTCCACTTTTGAAACAGTTCATTATTTTTTTAATCCAAAATTTGGTACTGTTGTCAATGAACAATCTGGCAAAAGTCTTCTGAAAATGTCATGTTTAAAAATAATAATAGAAATTTTTAAGAATAACTTGTCTGCAGTCTAAATAATCTTCCCTATCCTCTCCAGATTCTGACTCAAGTTAAGCTATTGAATATGCTATGTCGGTGAGAATAATGAGAGAGATTTTCAATTCCATTCTGGTACAGAAAAACCTAATACTTGGCTGTGTGAGTGCATTATCTTCAAGTATGTTGCTGAATTAGATGTTAATTTTGAGGTGCATAAAATAGTTAAAAATCAATTTAAAGTTAAGGTTTTAAAAGCATAATGTCTTCTGAAGGACTGCATATTGATTTTAAATATAACTATCTAATTGTATATGCATGGACTAAAGTATGAAGTCAACCTCTTTGTAAATGCCAAGAGGCTATTTTTCAGTAATAGTTCAGATGCTTACGGGAAACTAGGCTGCTAGATTGCATGAGTAGAAGATGGCTTGTGAGGTTATTTACAAGTTTTGCCTCATGGTCATGGCCATACATCAATAACAGGTATTATTATAGCCTAAGTGTTTCTGTTTATGGTGCATTATAAAATCTGTTTGCGATATTTTTCTTACATTTTTCCCATTCTTCATTTGTCCACATTTTTGTTCTGTGACTACTAGTACACTGTAGTGTTATATATATCTTCAATTGATTAAAAATGTGTATGTATGAAACGATTTCTTGTAATTAGATTTTTCTTCTTCCGCAAAAAATGTTGATATAATTTAAGTAATGAACTGTAAATTTTTTGAAACTGTAGTTTTTTTGAAGAAGTTATTCCAAACAGAACCAAGAATTTAGTTGTTTTTAATGTAAGATTCTTTATTGTGATATTTCATAAGATTCTTCTTAAGAGCTTCCAGAACAGAACTTTGACCTCTAGATGGAAACGTTAAAAATATTTGAGCAGTGACTTTTTTGCATATTGCTAAGAATAGCATGTTGGTTCAACAGGCTGTCAGTGGAAAATAGGAAGGACTTCACTGTAAAATATTATTTCATCTTTCCCTGACAGAAGTTCATGCTTCTGAAAAATCAATTAAGAAGATGTTTTGTACCAGTAATACATTTCAGATGTATTAAGTACCTAACAATTTCAGAATATAAAGCAAAAAAATTTATTTCATTGTTTATTGAATTAGAAAATTGATACATAAATCATTAAGGAGTAACTTAAAAGCTATGTGGCCACAGGTTTCAAGCTTACACTGTGTTTTAAATCTTGAGAGAAAAAATAATATAAATATAAATATCACTCTTATGTGTACAGAATAAATGGTATGTATTGGATCTTAATTTTGTAAAATGTATGTTGATGCTGTATACAGTAGTCTAATTTTCACAAAGTGCTAAATACATCTGCAGATCCCTGCAAGGAATCTGTAGACACAGCGTTCAAATCATTAATTACTCCAAAATGAAAGTGAAGGCCAATAAATTTTATCATGAATTACTTTACTTATGGTTTTTGTCGTGACATTGGTTATTTTCCAAAGTAATCTTCTATTCCTTAACTTGAAGCTACCAGTGCTATTGGACATGAGCATGAAGTCTTGCTGCGAGAAATGCTTTTGGAAAAAAATCTTTCTTTTATAGGTGAGAATCAATGATAAAGGCTACCCAGTGAATCCTTAACTTTAAAGATTTGCGGGACTGTTTACTTAAGAAAAAAAATAAGGCTCAGTGCTCTTTGTATTAGGTAGTAAAAGAAGAGTAAAAAATGATTGATGCTGTACATGTTATCTTTTATTGATTTAGAACTGAACAGGAACTCAGTTACCTAATACCTTATATATACAGTACATGCAGAGGCTTGCAATTAATATTTAATAGAATAAGTAGCTGAAAAAAAATGCTTTAATATCTGCTGCAGTATTACTTTTGGTGTCATGAGATATTAGCCGTAATCTATGAGACTTAGGAGGAAGCATAAGAAATATTAGCTTCCAAATGCTTTATGTATTAAAGAACTGCTAGAAGATTCACTCATTTGGTTGTCAGTGCAGTTTCTGCAGATTTTTTCCCACTGCCTTCAAACAGTGCAAGTCCCTGTATTTAAAGTTATTTTAAAGATTAATTGGTTAGGAGGTTGTTTTCTGTTGTTGTATTCCTTTTAGCCTGCAGAACATTTTTTGTATATTTGTACCATTAAAACAGTGATTATTATTTAAAAGGTCAGTTCTCCTACCGTGATTAAAAACTTGACTTCTAAATCTTGAATTCCTTATGTGATTAGATAATATTAAAGTGAATTCCTGTTCTTTTTTCAAAGAAGTGTGTTGTACTAAGTTTGTAAAATAGATTCCGGATAAGATTTTGGAAACCTTAAACAAGTTGAAGAAATTAGGAAGAATACTGAGATTTTTAAAAGGCTGGTCCATATGATTAAGGAACAATTTATTTTTCTGTTACATACAAACTTGCAAATGATACTACAAAAATGTGAGAAGATATTTTTTCCTACATGGCTCAAAGATTAGAGATAATAGACTTAAGCTGTAATTGGAGAGTTAAAATACTAAACTGTCCTAGGCACAATAAGTATAAAACAAGCTGCCAACGAAGGTTATGGAATCACCTTCAATGAAAAATTCAAGGCTAGACTTGACATTCATCCATCAAAGCTGGAAATGAAATCAATCCTGTCATGATACAGGAGAATGGACTAGACTCACTAATGGATCCTCAACCCAATGACTATCATTTTTTTGGCTTGTGCAAGCTTGTATAGTACACAAATCAGATTTAAATTTTATTGATTCATAACCTTGGGTAAACATCAATTTTGTGTTTAGAAATAAGCTCTAAGAAATTTGTACTGTCAAATCAAAATGTCTAGAATGGGTTAACTTGTCAGCATTAAAATATATAAATGAGGGAGTTTAATTTATTGTTTAGATTTTTTGTGTAGTGATGTATCATCTATTCATGATTTAAGGTACGTTAACTGGTATATTATTTCTTTCTGTGGGATATGTCTCTGAGGTTCTGAGTGTGACTTAAAAAAAAAAAAAGAGAAACAAAAAGTATTTTCCTAATTATCTGTAAGATGAACCTTACTGAAACCCTTGCAGTAAAATTTTTCTCAAAAATTAGATCCCAAACTACTTAATACTTAACGAAGAACCTCTGGAAAACACTAGAGATGGCAGTATTTCCTGTAGGTTAGCAGGTTCAGGCTTGGCTATCAGTAAGATGGAGTTCCAGTGTGGCTTGAGACTTAGCTTGCTGCACTTAAAATTCTTTTACTTTTTAACCCATGCATGAAAGAAACAAAATTCTTGCTGCCATTTCATGTTAGTGTATTACTCTGGTAAACTACTTTTCTAGGATAAGTTCTTCCTATCAGTTATTTCCACCTGGGAGACTGTATTACAGAAGAAAAAAAGCCTGACAGCATTTAAGGGCAGATAGATGATTAATTTTTAGAGCAGATAGCTTTCAAAGCCTACAGATCAGAAGTAACACCTCCAGATTCTCCCAGAAAGCTTTCAAAGCCTACAGATCAGAAGTAACACCTCCAGATTCTCCCAGAAATTGATTGGGAACCTGCACAAACTGATGGGTTTTGCATTCTAGTAATGCATAGTTCATGAGAAGCTCATAACTTCCTCTTTACGTCAGAAACAGTTCTCAGATCTTTAGTGCTTTGCTTGGGATTTATGCAATCAATGAAAACATTCTCTCAAAATAGGCTGACTGCCTTCCTTTCCTTACTGATTCACTTGCCTTGCTGAATTGCCAGGAATTTCTAGATTTAACAAAGGGCCTGACTCAATCTTTTCACGTCTTTGCCTGCTCCAGAATATATTAGGATATGTTTCAGCTATAATGGGAAGATATGTAACTGACCTTTCTACAATCTTAGCCTTCTTTGGCTGCCATCATGATGTCCCTTAGTAGCCTGGATATAAATCATGAAATCTGTTTGGTGTTTTTTGCTGTAACCAAAAATGTGCAGTTGCTGCATATTGATACACCATTAGAAGAACATTTGGTTTCTTTGTTATATCCAGAGGCTAGTGTAAAAACAATGATGAGTTCATAGAATCACAGAATGATTTGAGTTGGAAGGCACTTTAAAGATCATCTAATTCCAACTTCTGCCATCTGGAAAGATGGTATGGACATCTTTCAATAGACCAGGTTGTTCAAATTTAAAAGGTTAAGATTGAGAAGAAAGTAAGCATAAAGCTCTAGATGTGCTGGAAATCCAAACAGATCAGTACCCTGTGGACAAATTTAGGGTTGTTTCAGTGTAACTTTCATATTTTAGGATGAACAGCTTTAACTGCCATCATCTGGTTTTCAAGTAGCTGTTAAGCCATTATTTTGATGCATACAAAAGCTAAAAAATCTCCAAAAGTTTGCAGAATAATACCTCTACAGCTTCTGTACCAATACAAAACATTTATGGGCTGACAAGATTGTACTTTCTTTTCATGCGGTTTGGGCTTAAAAAATCTTTTTGAAGGGTGATTTGGGTGAATTTCTGTAGTTCATTTCTTTCTTTCCAAAGTTATAAAGTTCAAAATAATTGAAGAAACAATAAAATATAATTATTTTACTTCATGTGATTATCAAGTTACATCAATAATAAAGGTGTTTTTTAGTGGATTTTTCACCATTTCTCATAGTTCAAACTGTTAGGGGAAGTGAAGACTTTCAGAAAAAAAATTTTGAATAGAAATCATTTTCTTTTCCAAGCCATGAGACAAATAATTTCAAAAGTACTCAGACATCCTCAAAAATGAGTCCAGTGAAGAGTATTAAACACCGTCTCAAACATCTTCCAAATTGACCTGTCAGGACATGTTATCTGCCCTGGTTTCCAGTGTTGTGATTCTTTTTTTTTTTTTTTTTTTTTTGCATAAGGTAAATTTCCTTAAATTTGTTTGTTTTTTCAAGATAAAGGAATTACATTCATTTTTATATTGTGGCATAAGGATCATAGGTTTTGTTAAGCCAGAACCTTGCTAATCTAAATGTGTTTTATCCATATATCTAACAATCAAAGTTTGAAAGTATCCAACAGTCAAGTCTGGCTCCAAATCCTATGAAAATTTAGCAGCTGACCAGGTAATATAAATTAGTGTTTCATTCCAGAGACCTGCATTTACAGTGCAATGTGTTTACTGTGAAGAAATGCTGTTCAAAAGAAATGCTATAGTTGTCAAAAAGAATAATCCACCATTGTAGTTTACACTTAATTGAATGTACAACTTTTCAGAATTACTGCTGTCCTACTTGCAGTATTACTTAGTTCACTGTTTAAAAAAAAAAAAAAAAGACGTCAGACTTTTTTTCTTCAACAAGGAAAAGGAAGGAAGGCATTAAATATTTTTTAAAAAATTAAAATATTTTTATTTCTATGTGTATATATTTTTCTTGTCATTAAAAGGTTGCTTGGACTCAAATTGCTGACCTTTCAGAATATGCACAAAATATTCTAAAACTGAGTTCTGAACACTGGCCATGAAACTACTGTCCTAACCTGATAAATGGATTGGAAATAAGCTACCCAACAGTGAGAATGGACCATTAATTTTAATCAAAGGTGGTGTAGAAAGGCGAATGGGATGCATGACAATGTCAACAGCCCAGTAGGTGTTAAGGGGCTACACAGCCTTACTTGTTACTAGGTTGTGCCATTAGTTGAGCTTCGGTGAAGACAGAAAGCCATGCCTGGAATTGAATGACCAGGTCACTCCAAAATCTAATGGAGAAACGGTGTTTCGGAAATATCAATGTAATGGTATTGGAAATCAAGGACAATAGTTTAAAAAATAGTGAGGGCTTGCTTTGTGCTTTTTTTCTTTTTTAAAGAAAGCATCCTTTTTTTGCTCTCTTCTTTCTTACTAATTTCTTAAAACATTCAGCTTTAATTCAGAAGCAGTAGTTATATAGCTTATGTTAAGAAAATATCTAAGTTCTTATGTGTTTAATTAATTTTACAGTAAGAGAAGCTAGAATCGTGACATCCCTCTTCTTTAATAGATTTCTGGAAGTGAACAATTGTCATGTTGGTGGTTGTTTGCTTTTTTTTTGTTTGTTTGTTTGTTTTAAATGCCTTTGTGTTAACATTAAAATAAAGTCATGAAGGCAACCACAATATATCTACGTTTGTGGTGTTGGTAGGATTAATCTCAACAGCTCCCTAATGTGAGGAAACTCTTCTTTCAATCAGTGAATATATCTCTTTATTTTGAATATTTGGAGGTTATAAAATACTGTATGACAGCTTGAATTAATGATGTTTATAATGAAGACATAAAAATGCAGGGATGACAAAGAAGCATTTTTATATCCATGCTTCAGGTTTTCTACAAAGGTTCATTTAATCTGACACAGCATTGCATGCATAAGAAAGATATGTGTGACTGCATTAGTAATTCTTACATTCTTATTTAAAATAAAATTAATTATACTGCTGTCTACTTAATAGAAGAGTTTTATAAACAATAGGTCTTGTTCTCTCTGTGTAGCCGAAGATCAGCTTCGAGCAAAGGGTTATGACAAAACACCAGACTTTATTTTAGAAGTGCCAGTAGGTAAGTCTTTGAAAAGAATTGTGTATAGAAAAGAATTTTGTATAGAAGTGTTTATCCTAAAATATTACAGATTACAGATATTTAAGACACAAGAATATGAAGTATGTTACAGGATAGTAAATATTTCTGAGGGTTTTTTTGTGTTTACTCAGTAATTTTAAGATCATCTACTTTGGGTCAGAATGGTATTACTCAAAATACAAGTAGATAATAATATTAATGTTTCCTCTTCTGTCTCTATCACAAAAATAAAAATAGAAAAAGCCATCCACAAATCCCCACTCAGTCTAATTTGTTCTAACCATTGTCTTTGTATGCTGAACTGTGAAATATCTGTAAATGTCTTAAACTTTTAGACCAAATCAACTTCAAAGCAGTCTTAAAGTAATACCATTATACTTCTAGGTCATTGTGTAAAGGTTTATCATGGAGTAGTTCTCTATTTTTTTAAAAACCCTACATCACAGGAAGCAGGAAGGAATAAAAGTAGATATAAAGGTCATGCCAAAGTTCATCTATATATTCTGGTCTTTTGGTCAAGTAAGGAGGTAATATGACCTATTGATTCAACCATGGAAGAAAAAGTATAAACTTTATCCAAGTGTAAAGGAGTCTTAATCATCTTTCTTAAATGCCTTTCGTACCAGAACACTTCTGCTTTATCTGTTTACAACACAACTATGCAAATGTTTATAGGTATGTGTTAATAAAAATAAAAAGGCTTATAGCCCTATATAAAAGCCATATTCACGACTACTTTTTTTGTTCTGCATATTAACAAGAGAAGGAGCTCTTACAGATAACTGATTCATTCATGGTGGAAGGAATTGAGTGCATACTATTAAAAATTTTTATCCTCAGCAGTTCTTCAGATACAATCTTTCAGCATGGTAGTCTTTCTTATCTAGTAGATAAATAAATATATTTATGAGAGCCTTCTAACCAGTTTTTTAAGACTTCCTTAACTCAGTACTGATATCCCACATAGTCCTTTTGGAGAATGATCCTTTTGAGTGACTGTCATGATTTCTTATGCAAAATTATCAGTTTCAGACAGGGCTTTCTTTCACAAAAAAACAAACGAACCAAAAATGGGATTTTATTAATATTGCAAATTCAGTCCTGCAAGAAATAAGAAAAGACATCAATCAGTGCAAATCCCAGAAACAGAAATTCCAAATCAGATCTTTCACATAGCCATTATTGTTCCTAAATTCTTTCTGCTGAAGCATTACTCATTTTGAAAAAGTCAGGAGGCAGATATTTATCTATGATAACCTTTCTTCTTGTTCTCACACCTTCCACTCTGGGCTAAGAATTTTCTAGCTTTAGCAGCTTAATTAACTTTTTGTCATCTTCAATTTCTTTCCACCAAAGTAAGGCTGAAAGTAGGATGCAGTTGCAACTTAGTCTGGTCTGTAATTAAACTTAAATTGAAATAATTATCCATTAAAATATGTGTTATTTTTAAAAAAACATAATCTATATACATATTTGAAAAATATATGTATCTCTATTGTAATTATCTAGTAGACTGGGGACTAAATAGGGTATTCCCAAACATATTCTTAAGACTGCTCAGTCTAATTTTTGCAATTCACTTTTTTTGCTGTCACTCTAGCTGTTGAAGGACACATAATTCACTGGATTGAAAGCAAAGCCTCATTTGGTGATGAAAGTAGCCATCAAGCCTACTTGCAGGACCAGTTTTGGAGCTACTGGAATAGGTAGGCGCATTTCTGTTATTTTTTCATATAGATAAAAATAAGACAAATTTTCTTTTAAAGAAGTTACCGGGGAAAAAATTAAGCACAAATGGCTTTTATATTAAGCCATGTGAATAAAATACATGTTATTAAACTGGCATTTTGAATTTTATTAATTAGTATGTCAAATTTCAAAGCTTAAGTATTTGTGAAAAAATAATACCTTAAATGCTAACATGCAACAGATATATATGGTGTTTTTACAGTAATGCTAGTTAACAAAATAAGCTGCCGTGGTACAGAAGTTTTATTTCTATTTTTTTAGTACTTGACTAAAGGAAGATTCTGTAATACTTGCAAGATGCCAAACTTGTTTTAAAATCTTCACAGTCTAAAAAGTAGGCCTTGTGTGTAGAAAATATTGCTGATTGTCGGTGTATCTAACACAGTTCTGATTTGCTTTTGTTTGATAAAATGTTCTTCTGGTATGTTATCTACACGTTACATAATAATAATGTATTCTTTTTAAGCTAATATATGTTAAGTGCAGGAAGATGAGGAGAGAAATAAGTCATGCTGGACATGAATTTTTGAGTATTAATTTCATTTTCATAAAAATCCTTTCTTTCAAAGACTGTTACAACTCAGTCTTTAAATTTCAGTAATTTCAGTTCGGTAGTACAAAAGGAAGATTTTTATTGTATATAGTTGTATATCTTTCCAAGGTAATAGCAGTCTTCTCACTAGACAGTTTTTCTTCCCAAACTAATAATAATAAGATATCATCTTTAATTTCATCTTTGTATGTGGTGGAACACTTAGTAAAGCAGTGAGAAAGGTAAATGATAGTTTTAATAAAGGATTTGTAAAAGTATAGATTAAGATATCTTCTCAATGTTCAGACAGCTTCTGAGAAATCTAATGGAAGGTGGAGAAAATGGTACAGAGATGGTTGAACATGTAACTAACAGCATATACCAATATCAGTGGCTAGTCTGTGGTGTCCATTGTTTTTCATCTAGGTATAAAAAATGCTGACAAAAACTGCTAGCCTTAGCTCAGGAAATAAAGCAACCTCTGTAGGAAGCAGCAGAGAGAAGCCATATCTCAAGAGTAACACTGACAGAAAACATAACTGCGTAATTATGCTCTGCAACAACATTTGTTGGTATGAGAAGGGCCTACTCTTTCTAGACATTCCCAAAGAGCAGTGAATTGGAGAGGCTGAACTGATTTTATGGGAACCTCAGGAAGACTGTCTATTGTTGGGCAAAGATGCTGAACTAAATAAAATTATAGAAAGGAATTTGTAAGATATATAACCAGAGTGCAAGAGTTAGAAACAATTTTAAGTACATAGGAAATCGTGAGAGTCACGGGAAAGATGCTGATGCAAATGGTGCTGAACTTGCACAGCGGTGTAAATAAGATTGGATGGAGCATCTCAGGCCAGGAGGAGTCCATTAGATGTACTGGCTAGAATATTTTCTGAGGAAAAATGATGTTTGAGGGGATGCATGATGGTATATGAGGAAAAACAGCTCTAACAATTGAATTTTATATAGACAATGTTAATATAGAAATACCAAGTTCAGGTGAGGGGAAAGTTGAATAGACAAGTGGGATGAAGTCACTGATCCATTTCATGTTTGCAGTAAAATTGTTTTTGCAGAGCTGAACTTGTAGTCTCTTTCTATCTGTGCCAAACAAAATTACTATCTGCATGTTGGTTTGAACTATAAAATGTGTAAAATGCCTGAAAATGTGTACCCTTTGAACCTGACATTTCTGAAAGAAATTTTGTATCAGGAAACCAGAACTTATCTAAATTCATTTCAATTTTATCATTTTCATAATTATTATTGCAAATTCAAACTTGAAATAACATCTCTCATTGAATTGTTAGTCAAGTACCTGTAATGCTGTAAAAGCTAGACTGAATTGACATGTGGATTATTAAGGATGATTTGTAAATCCTTTTCAGAATTTGCCTAATTTTTTCTTATACCTTTCTTTATTGAAAATAACTGGTGATTCTTACATATGTAATGACATATGTAATGTTTGCATGAAGGAAACAAGGAACTTACTGAAATTACTTAATTACTGAAATGTGTTATACCCTAAGTCAAGAATTTAATGTTAGGTCAACTATGGAAATCAGGTATAATTGTATGGATTCTTTTTGTTTGTTGTTTGGGTTGTTTGTTTTTTGTTATTGTTGTTTTGTAAATACAAATCCTGTTGGTACTGTTTGATCAAACTAACACTACCACAATGTCTTCTGGATTGAGTTGTGAATTACCAAAGTTTCTTCTAATATAATGGCAGTTGGGTTAATCGTGGAATCATAAAACTCTTAGAGTTGGAAGGGACCTCTGAAGGCCATCTAGCCCAACTCCCCTGCAATGAACAGGGACACTACAGCTAGACCAGGTTGCCCAGGGCCTTATCCAGCCTCACCTTGAAAGTCTCCTGGGACAAGGCATCCACCACATCACTAAGCAACCTGTTCCAGAGCCTCACTATTCTCACTGTAAAAGATTTTTTCCTTATATCCAACCTAAACCTACCCTGCTTGAGCTTCAAGTGATTTCCCCTTTTTCTATCACCTTCTGAAGAGTTTGTACCCTTCTTTCCTGAAGCTTCCCCTTAGATACTGAAAGGTTAATGAACACTTGATGACAAATTAGTTCACATGTAAGTTAGACAGTCGACTTTTGTTGCTCTCTGAAACCGTTTAAGTGGAAAGACACAGGCATAGCTGGACAAACTGTGAATCAATTTTGAATGATTTAATAAATTAACCTACCCAAGGATCTCTCAGCCCAGAGAATTCATCCTTTCAACTTGAAGGAGAAATCTTTTGGAGAACATGCATCAGTTCATAACAGATGTATTGTGAAACTCAGCCTGTACTTCAGGTTTTTGTAAATCTAATCTAGTAGCTGAAGTTAAAACTAAATTGAAATTGGAGAGAAAAGCTTTAAGCTTTTTATCCTGCTGGATATGGATAGAAATATACGTCTTGATATTTTGAAAGGAACAAAGGTGATAGCTTTTAGACCTTTTTCATTGAACTCTTGTTTGTTTGTTTCTCTGAAAAGTAGGAGTGAGTCTGGAATAGTTTCTGGGTCTTTTTCCACATTTATAACAAATGTAAATTTAATTCTGCACAGAATATAACTGAAAGCTTTAAACATAGTTGTAGTTTCTTTGCTGTAATGTGTATGTTTCAGTAAATCCTGTAGTCTGTGCTAACTAAATCTGTGAGTCTTAAATAGGTCTGTACTGACAGGAAAGAAGTGGCACTTTCTCATTTAACAGAACAGCTCCCTAGATTCAGTCAACCATGTCCGTTCACCTCAGTGCAAAAGAACACCTTTTTATTACTCTGAGTTCTGCAGGGACAGCTTAGCAAGGTTTTTTATGGCTCATACATCAATGGTATTGTTAAGCAATTTTCAGTTGCAGTGCTACACTGCAGCCTCATCTTCAAATTAAGCTTCATATTAAAAATGCACACAGGGTACCTTGTCAGTGGGTTTGCACAGTTGTAATTTAGGGTGCTCTTTAGATATTGAGAATTTTCACTGTTAAATAGGAAAAAGAAAGTTTAGTCTCGTATATTCCCAGACTGCTTTTGCAGGCTGTGCCCAGGAAGAAGCTATTTTACATACTGAGCAAACTTAGTATACTTACCAAATTCATATATTTACCAAATCCCTTCTATGTTTTTTCATCCAAAACAGTAGCATTCACTGATCAGTCTACAGCTTTCACTGCCACCATGTAAACATGACAGCTGCATGTGCAGAATATAACTGCTTAATGCACATGTAGAAGATGCCACATTTTTCTTTGTCCACTAGTCTGCTTTGGTGTATTTCATGTGACCCTAAGGATAAAAACTGTTGAGTAGTCTGTGTAGCCAAAACTAATTTGAAGGGCACGAACTTGACATAATATAGATTGCACTTTAAAACAGGGTCAAGACTTTGTAAATTATTTTAGGATTAAATGAACGCTAAATCTTTTTTCTTTTCGTATTGTCTAATTTAATAATTTTTTTCTAGGTTTAATTAAAAATTAAAGTCCAAACTGTATGAGTCTTAATTGGAGCTGATAGACGTGGTTGCTGTTGTATAAAACATTGATTGAGATACAGAAATATTGATTATCAATAATCAATATTGATTGAGAAATAGAGATTGAGATTAGCAAATTTTTTCAGGTAAATGTGAAAAGAAAAAAGTGTTTAAGACTTCATTTCAATTACAAACATAGCTGATCTGCTCTTAGGTCCTTTTGAGAAGAGTGTTCTAATCAAACTCATTTGTAGTTGACAATAAGAATGAACCATATATGAACAAAGACTGAATCAGAACATCAGATTGATGCATATTTCTTTTCTGCAGTGTAGTTTAAAATTGCCTGACGTGTTATATGAAGACTGTTTGAGTAATATTTGACTGATTGTAGGTGGTGGGGAAAGTGGGAATTATGCTGTGGGTTTATGTCTGTCTGTTCTATAACAGGATCTATATTCATCAATTGAAAATTGTTTAAAAAGTTGTGCTGGTGAGTTGAAAGCCAGTGGTATAACAACTTGACTTGGAGGAAACCTTGGGAGTTGCATTTGTCAAGTGGCTAAGAAAACTGTTCATGCATACCCAGTATCCAAAGCTTCATCGGCAGCCCAAACATAAAGAACTGAAAGGTCATTCTTCTTCTTGCAGTATGATGGTTTGTTGACATATTTTGACACACTGGTACAATGCTGAAAGGTTTTGACCTTACTGCAACACTGAGGGAGTTAGGGTTTGTTTGGCTATTTAATGCTTGTAGATTTTCACACATGCTGAGTTTTGCTTTGCTTCTTCTTCTCTCCTTTTTGACTCTGCTTGAATTAATGAATTAATCTTAAACAAAAATGGATGTAGAAAGAGGGAAATTATGATGATTTTTACAACTTCTGACTGTGGAAAGATGTTTCTTTAAAACAATTTTTTTTCTTAGAA